CATTAGATCTGATTTCATGATATATTGATTTCATTAGCCATTTAAAATCGGTTGATATCAAATCATAGGTGTTGTAAATTAGAAAGAAGCGTGCGCACGAGTGTGTTTATGAGTGTCGTGCGCGTGTGGGTGTGTGTGTGTGTGTGTGGGGGGGGGGGTTATTCCGTTAATGAATGTATCAGTTGAGTTTGCTTTTGCTTTTTGATAACCACATGCATTAAATTTCAAAAAGAAATATATTTATTTCTACTGACAGGTGTAAATATAGCGGAAAGGGAGTTTCTTGACAATTAAAATTTCATTTTGTTTCACAAATCATGTGCATTGCAGACCAGCTTTATAAAATAAAATTTTCTCTCTCTCTCTTCAATAATAAAATGAATACTTTCTGCATGCCCATTTTTTTGTATGTTATTTAACGTCCCTCTCGAGAATATTTCACTCATATGGAGACGCCACCACTTTCCGATGGAGAGCTGCAAATCTTGTCCTATACTCGGCACTTACGGCCATTAAGCAGAGAGGGATCTTTTTTCTTGCCAGCACCTACTGCGACACGGGACCTTGGTTTATACGGTCTCATCCGAAGGACCGGTCTCCACGTCCCACAGGGATTCGAACCCGCGACGTAAGGATCAATTCCTTACGTCGCGACTCTAGAGCAGACGCTCTAACCACTGCGCCACGCGGGCGATTCTGCATGCCCATAAAATACAATATGATCAACATACGAAGTAGCCCCCCCCCCCTTTCTCCTCGCCAGACACACATATGTACTTCTAATTTGCTTACCAATGAACACATGCACGTCGTATATGCATATCAAGAGCTTTAAATAGTTTGGTAATCAAGAATGTCAGTTATGGATATATAATACAGACTGATTCATGAACAGACATGTCAATCAAAGTTAAATTAATTTTTATAAGTATTCAATTAAAATGTTAGAAACAGAGTTTAAAAAGAATATACAATTTGATTTAGTAATGTCCGTAAAAGCCGTCACGTTTGTCTCATAGTCATAGGTCTGTCTCTCTATTAAGTAAAGCGAGTGTCCCCATTGTTATACGTATTGTTATCGTATGTTTAAATCAATTTTGCGCATGTTCTGCGTTAAACACAATACAAAAAAATAATTTTGGTTTATTACATATTCTTTTATTACATATGTCCTTAACTCAAAAAATTAAGTAACGCAAAATGTAACAACCAAGAAGTGCATTATTATATATTGCGCAAATTTCAACGTAAAATGTAATAACGCAAAATGTAATAATCCAAAAATCGTGTTATCACATGTTGCGTTATTACATTCTACGTTGATCTCGACACAAAATGTAATAACGCAATAAGTAATAATCCCAATTTATCACATTTTGCGTTGTTATTACATTTTGCGTTGTAACACTGCATTTTAAAAATCGATGTTAAAAATCCCTGTTATTCCCTTTATTGCTCGAGTGCATTCGGTGCATTCAAACACGGTGTATTTTAAAATTGTCTTGATAACGAAAGGGTAGTATTGTCACCTGATAACTAACCTTAATGTATGTGTACATCCTATTTTTCTACAGCAATGATTTTTTTTATTGTTTGAAACTGATTTAATATATAGTTGCACTTTTAAAATTTCATCATATTGCAATTAAATCTGTTCAGAAAGTTGTTACAATAGATCAATAAATCATAGGCGTTTTTAGTGTTATTTTTATCAACAAAACTGTAAATGTGAAGGTCAATTGATGATTCAATATCCAGATAGTAGAAGTTAATTGCTTTGACCTGTATTTTATTAACTGTAGATGAAAAAAAAAACTATTGAAGTGATACCTGTAATGATTTATGAAAGAAAATACAAACGAGAGGAAATGATTTGAAGGAGTAAGTAAACATTTCTAATCAACTTTCGTTTTAAAATATTCTTCGTAAGATATAATTATCTTGATTGCCATTACATTAGTGCATTACACCATGATTTTGCATTAAAAACAATAAACGATCTCTTAAATTCTAACAAAATCAAATGTCAGAAAAGGTTTGTAAATGTATTAAGACATGCCTCTACATATGTATAGCAGAAATATTTAAAAGAAACTAGATGAAATCCCGTGCAAGCGCGGGGAATTAAATTTATACCACTGACGACAGAAAATATATATTTGTAGAATCTACTGACAGCCTACAGGCTTATAGCAGGAAGAAATACTTTGTTTAAAATCCCGCATGAAGTACATGAACGTCTCCACCCCCCCCCCCCCATCCCCACCCCTACCCCACCCCTTTCTGTAAATACTTGAAAAATAACAATTTCGTTAATTGGCGTTTTATTGTGAAACATGTTATACTATGTTATGCATATTGTACTTCGGCTGCTCTTATTTCATTTCCGTCAAGGATAAAAGCAGCGAATATGCACATTTTACTGATAAACTGCATGATTTTTTTTTTTTCGGGGGAGGGGGGGGGGGGGACAATTCACAAATACTTGGGTCTTGGTTTATAAATATGTATGTACCTTATTTATACGTAAAAAATGTAGTTTACTTTTTTTACATATCAATAGGGTACATACATATTTATAAACCAAGACCCAACTACGGGGTCTGTGTAAAAATTAGTTTTTAACGCCCTATGAATAGGCCGGGTATTTGATACAAAAGATTGTATTAAAAAAAACCTGAAATGTATTGATTAAAGCACAACATTTTGCACAGCTTTAATTGTATTTGAACAATACCTTATTCGTTAATTTTCTCTTTTCATGTTATCAAGTTTATTACGAAGTACAAATTGTACTTCAGGTTCGTTGCCACGATGCTCTCAGTATGGAATACATTTATTAGAAAAACCTACTACATACATGAAATAGTCTTTCGATATATAAATATATTCAAAACTTATAGTGTTATCAATGATTTACTATTATTTCATTGACCATTCATACAAAAGTTTTTTTTTCCCCCCAAATGATCGCCTCGTTTTTCTTTTTAACATCGGGTTCGATGCTATATGATGTTCTAGAAGCTTCCTTCAATATTAAGATCGGTGAATGACGAAAATAATTTGCATATTTCCCTCTTTAATCGGTTATCACAACTTATTTCTTTTATATCATTTAAATCAAGTTTTGATTGAATAATTCAGTGATAACGTTTAATTCAATAAATGAATGATTGCTTGTTGTCAGTTTCATTAAAAATTGCTAGTATCTTAGATCCGCCAACCGGAAACGCCACCGTACTCACGTTTTTGCTATTTCATGGCTGTTTATAGAAAATAAAAGTAGACTTTCAATTTTATGTACGGGTGAAATCTAAATATAGTTTACGCACATTATCTCGTATCTATTGTATTGTTAGAGGAGTAAGTAAGAACTCTTGTTCACCCGTTTCGGAGTTTATTTGCAAAATTTATTAATTTATAAGTATAGATGTGAAAAAAGCGTTTTTACAGCCGTTTCCATGGGTATAATATATCAGTGATATAAAAAAAATCATGCAATATTTGCTCTTAGTAACTAAACACATTTCATCTACTACTATCAATCAAATTGTACATCCTATACCCAATTACTCACACTTTATCTTGAAAGGGAATATTTGATTATCACTAAGAAAACTCTGGTTTGAATTGTTACTAAGCTGTAAAAGTAGTTATAATGAAAAAGAAATTATGCATCTGTTTGTATTTTGAAATTCCTTCATGCATTTAGAATAAAATTTATTACTTAGATGGAAGTGAGAGAAAGTATACTTATTTATGAACAACTATTAAAAGTTGTGGGGACTCTTCCTTAGGTATCCAAGAATAAATAAAAAAAAAAATTAGGGATATCAAATCGGTCAATATTTGATAATCGGTTACTCGGACGATTTTCCGATCGAGTACCCGGGTACTCGGAAAAAGTACATATAAAAAATTGATGATTTTTCAGAGACCTGTTTACCCCCATCAATTTTTTCCATGTACATAAACATCGAGCCCAACGAAAACGAATTTTTGTACTTAATTTATGTATCAAACAAACTCAAATTTTAAAGACATAATCAATTAATACACCAATAACTACAAAATTATTGCTTGACAGTTTTTTTTTAGGAAGACAATTTGATCAACGGAAGAGAAGGACGCAGCTTTGTAATGATTAGATTTGTGAAAGAGAATATCTTTGGGAATGGACATTGTCGTGATCGCGAGTCGTATATTATTTACATTTCCAAATGTTTTCTTTGTGACAACTCTTGAAACTAGTGTCCTCTACAAAATTTAGAATTTTTCAATTGTCATATACAAATTTAAATGGAAAAAATTCTAAATTTTGTAGAGGACACTAGTATTTACAACTTCAACCGCCATGCATAAATTATCCCACATTTCCAACTGCCGTTGATGCTCTGGCATATCCAACAAACTAGACAGTGATTCCTTAAATATATGGTTGTTTCCCCCCGTATACGCTAAATTAATTATGCACAGCTGACTTTTTACATTTTTGTTAATCTTCGTTTATTTTTAAATATTTCTTCATTTTTGAATTTGTAGGGATATTTCTACGTATGTCCGATTTCGCTACCGTAACATGCTAATTAAATAATCTAAGGACAATTAATAGATCATAATTAAACGATGTTCATTGAAAACAAATAATTAAACCATCCAAAAATTAGGATCACAAGAGGTGAGAACAGCTGTATACGGTGTCCAGTGATTGGTCACGGTAATTGCTCTATATACATATACATCATTACATGTACACAGCCGCAGGTATTTACTGGAGTAAGTGACGCTAATTATTGTATAGACATGGATAGTCATATTTAAATAACATTTTTGAATAAGTTTTTAATAAATATATGCACTTTGAAATATGAAAAAAAATATACATCCGAGTAACCGAGTACCGATTTTAGTATTCGATACTCGGACGTTCGATCGAGTTACCGGTTAACCGGGTACTCGTTGACATCCCTAAAAAAAATATAACAAATCATTTTCCAGATATGACGTACCGAGGTTTTGGTTACGTGGTAGATTCCTGTCCTCTCAATAAGACAGAGTTTATCACGGCTGCTACCAGACTGAACTGTAGTGTGGACAAGTATGGACGTAGTCAGTATACCTGTGTCCCTAACGAAGACAGATCTGCTCTTGTGGAATTCTGCTACAGGAAAATTGTCGCGTTTTATCAAAAGGGTAAACAGAAGTATATGCAATAGTTACTATAAAATAGCAAAATGAACAGTCATGTATTTTTCACTTGAACAAGTATGTACCATTAAAATAACCTGTCGGTTTCTTCAATTCTGTATCTCTTTGTAAACTTAGAAATAGGTGGGGAAAAATCTACAATTTGACTTAGACCTTTGAAAAAAAAATTGTGGATGTGCTTATGATGGAATTCCTTCAGAGAGAGAGAGAGAGAGAGAGAGAGAGAGAGAGAGAGAGAGAGAGCTGTGACAACATTCTTTTTCTAGATGTTGTAAGACATACATCTAACCTTTTATAGGATAGAATTCATTAAATTAAAAAATAATACATGTATATCAGACAAATTAATTTCAGTAAAATTAAAACAATATGCTTTATTAAGGTTGCATATTGATAGAGACCTGGATGATACTTAAATGGAATCTCTTACTGTGATAATTGAAATTCTCTAACATTTACATTGATTCATTTTTTTAAATAAGGGCATTGCTTGGTGACAACTGGGAATGGAACCTTAGATCAAATCAGTTGTCATCACTTTATAACTGGTTGTCCAGAAGACAATTTCCGTGGAACTGGCTTATACAAATGTTTGTATTTTATCATTTTGTGAGCAGATTTGCGAATGTAAATCTTTATTCAGGAATATGATTTTCTTTTTTGTTTAGTTTCAGCGTGCAGTAGAATCAACACAGAAAAACAATGTTTTTATGCAGATCCATCATGTCCTAACACGTAAGCCTTGATTTGGATTTCTATTTTTGTGGTCATAAATGTTTCCAATACGTTTCTGAAGACAATATTGATCTATATTTGCAAATCATTACTTCTTTATCTTAATTAAAAAAAATATTGATATAATTAATGAAATATATGGAGATAACGAACAATATTCAAGCTCAAAAGTCCATTAAACAATACGAGTCAGGAGCAGAGCAAACACAGACCTCTAAAAAAATCAGAGATGGGATCAGGTGCCATGGAGGAGTGAGAATCCCCTGCCGACCGGTCACACCCGCCGTGTGCTCTTTGTCATGACCAGAAAATAACAGAAAAATCCTTCGACAATTCAGTGTGTAAATAATGGCCTACCATATAGTATAAAAACGTCAGTCATCATTTGACTTAATGATAGATTGTATTGAAATGCTGTAATACCAGTGCTGGAAGTCAAGAATCAAGCGATGAAGGAGTAATCATTGATTTCCCTTAGGATAAAACATATTTTATCTATGATCTATGATATACACCCATAAACTTTTGTTCATTATAGGGCAAAATTCAATACTTTCGATCCAAGTACAACAGTTGACTTTCTGAATACCACAACCAATACCACAATGAAAATGTTGACCAGACAGCTATCAGTGCTGGAAGTGAAGAATCGAGCGCTGTAGGAGTTATCATTGGAATTATTCTCTGTCTACTACTTATTCTGTCCCTAGTTTTTGCCTTTACATTCTGCAAAAGAAGGAAATCAAAAAGAAAAAAAAATACCAAAGAGTTCTATTGAATGAAAGTACGTTTGTCAATATCTCAAGAATCTACTTTCAATTTACGGTTATTGTTTTCAGTGTTTTCTATTGTTTTTTTTTTATTTTAGAATATTATTTTATTTTTGATAATCAAAAGCCTCGTGTGCATATTGAAAAAAAATCCAAATATACACACTTTCCTCCCCCAAAAAAAGCTCTAAGTCATACTTTTAAAAATCCTTTTCAAGGAATCTTTATGCATATTTTCATTCTTAAAAAAAATTAGAATCACAATTATCTCATTACTTATAAATTTACTTTATATGAAAATGCTATATATGTAAATACTTTATTGAATCAAATTTCAAACTTTGAGATGTTAAAGATCAGCCATATTTTTAAATATATGAGTTCAATTTTTTTTCTATGTAAGTCACAAATAAAAATAAAATGTCATGTTTAACAATAATTATATACTAATGCAAATATCAGCTCCTAACTCGAATTTGATACAAAAAACTCACACGAATGAAAATCGATACACAGTATTCATAAATGCATGTATTTCTTTCTAAATATTGCTTTAATTTTTTGTAGTTCATACTGTTGATGAATGTAGTGCGTGGAAAATACCTATTTCTAGTAAGAAACTGGTGCCATTTTCTTTTTTATTAAAGGATTGACTATTTAAAGGGGCTTGGAACAGATTTGAAATTCATATTCTTAAATAATCAATATCATAAAACCATTAATGTGTCGGGGACAATAATTTAAAACTTCTCTAAATATTCGAACTTAATTCGAATTTGATACACACACACACACACACACACACACACACTCACACACACCCTCACACACACACACACACAAGAATGGAAATTGAAACATAGTATTCATAAATGCGTGTATTGCTTTCTAAATTTTGCTTTTATTTTTTGTAGGTTATACTGTTGGTGAATATAGTGCGTGGAAAACATCTATTTCTAGTAAGGAACTGGTGACATTTTCTTTGTTATTATAGGGTTGACTATTTAAAGGGGCCTGGACACAGATTTTAAGTTCCTATTTTCTTAAATAATACTATTTATTTTCATTACAAAATAAATCAATTTTTTATAGCAATGAAAACGTAATTTCACTTGTACCCGATAAAACTGCGGGAAAAATTTTCCTGTACCCAGGCATTGTGTCATCATATTTTATAACTAACATTACGTCACGCTCTAATACAATGATTGTAAACATAATTTAAAAATCAGCTGTGCGCGTAGGTGCCGGTCAATGTAAGCGTCGCTTATCCTCCAATTTTACTGGAGTGGTTGTTTTCCCATTGCTTGAACAACCATGTTGCGATGTATCGCGACGCTTTTGGCTTTTATAGATTTGATAGCATTATTATATTTTATTATACTTTCATGTTAAATACTAAAATCTGATTGGCTTAGAAGCATTTAACAATCCGTAATGTTATCCTCAGCGTTAGCAACACACTTGACAACGGGTAACATTACGAAAATATCACATGGGTTCAAATCATGCGCGTACAGTTCATCGTAGAATTCTCAAAACGTAGGTTGTGCGTTTGAAAGAACCAAATAAACAACGTCAATAAAAGCTTGCGTCCGATGTAGTTTACTTGAAAACAACAAACGACAGACGAAACATCCTTGCAAAACAAGTGCAAACTTTAGATGATAAAGGACTTTTTGAGTAGCAGACAAACAATAAAGAGATTGGTAAATCTTTTCCGAAGCTTTCTTATAGAAGAGGGAGTTTGAAAGCTTTCTAAGCGTGAACTTAACGACGATCTCCGAATTTTTTAATAACATCCGAAATCAGTAAGACATTCAGTATAATGAAATAAATAGTGCCCATTTTTGAGGGTAACAGTTGAAATTGACACCCCAAGGAAAACCATTGTCAGCCTCCGCTGACGCGTCGGTTGACAATGGTTTTTCTTTGGGGTGTCAATTTCAACTGTTACCCTCAAAAACGTGCACTATTTATATAATGTATCTGTTCCTAGTACCAATATAATTCTATCTTTCTCAATCATGAAGCCAATAATGTGTAATGATAATGTCATAATGTATAATGATGAAAAGCTTAATGTATGCATAATGAATAATGTATAATGATGGTTGCCACAATGTATAATGATGAAATGCATAATGGATGCATTATGAATAATGTATAATGATGGATTGCATAATGAATAATGTATAATGGTATCTGAGGGTTCCACATTGGATAGTGGATGAAACTAGCAGCCATCAAATGATAAAGTGGCATAATGTTTAATGTAATGCATATTGTAATGTTTAATGGAATGATTAATTGATTTTAGTGTTAGCCAATTTATCAACCGGCAGCCACAAGGCCGTGGCCTCGTTCGCCAAGAAATGTTGGAATTTCAAATTTACATAATAATGATTTGAATGTTCTATTTAAATTTATATTAACTCTCACACGCCAAACTGCGAGTTTTATAATTATATAATGCATATAATATAAGACAAAGAAAAATCACACGTAAAGTAATGAATATCTATCTATATTGTTAACAGTGACTTATAGGTCTTATATATGGGCCGGGTGTTGTTTGTATATTTGTCTAATGAATGAAAAAGTTGTTATACACAAGTCACTTTAATAAAATATTTACTTGCTTGCTTGTGGGGGTCCAGACCAATATAACCCAGTAGTCTTACAACTGTCGTAATAAGGAAAATAGTTAAGAGGATCTCATGAAAATCTAGTCATTCAATGACAGATATATATACTTCCTATATTTCTCCCAACCGACTATGTATAACTTTTTTGTACAGCCTTTAAAAACGTTGGAGGTGGGATCAGGTACCGAAGAGGAGTAAGTATCCGTTGTTCGCCGATCACTAAAATATCATTGGTAGCTATATTTGAACCATAACGGACCTTTTTAAAGATAACTTTCAAAATCTCTACACATTTTCATGCTTTCTGTCACCTACAAATTACATTTTTTTTCTGGAAAAATTGTCAATTTTTTGGTGGCAATCTTTTAAGATGAAAGTCTTAAACTATTTCTCAGGATAAATATCCGGAGAAATAGTTTCAAACTTTTTAAGAGGTCAATCCGGGTTCATACGCTGTTTTGAATGAATAATCTAATCCGATGACACATATATCGATCGCAAGAAAGTGTTTTATCATTGCAAATGTGTTATAAGTACAAGTATATAGCTAAATGGGTATACTAATTGCATTTCTAGGACAAAATAACATAATTATGTGCATCCAAACTACGTCTATGATATACACATGAAATATCATCGATCGAAGTGGGTCCGTTTTGGTTCTTCGTTTAGTCAATTTCTGAACTGCATTTATGAGGCCTTTCGTAAGGATGTTGGGGGGGGGGTACTAATTAAAACGAGCCAATAACTTGTCAATAGAGAATAAGGCTTGCGGGTATCAATTAAAATACACTGACGTTAAATACATAAGCCAATTAATGCATGGATCCATGATTTTATAAAATAAAGAGTTTTACTGAAAACATTTGAATACTTATGCATTAAATACATAAACACAATTAATTTAAATAATCGGCGAAAAACTTTACTATTGTATGTACTCTAGTCATTCGACAACTTGTGTAGAATTAAACAGCTAGTATACGGTAAGAGATTTTTAAATTAGAAGAAAATTAGAACTTAAAAAGATAATTTGTGTAGTTGCAGGCATTGGGATAAACATCAGCAAGAATCATTGTGGGTATTTTCACGGATGTCAACCCTATTCTGTATTTTCGTGATTACAAGATTATTATTACCTCTGAATAAAAGTTTTAGGGGAAAAAATATTTTCTTTGTTTGTATTTTCCTATAAGGATTCATAATTAAAGCGCCTTTCTTGTTTTTTGTTTTGGGGTTTGGGGATGGGGGGTGGGATGGGGGTGGGGTGGTTTGTTTTTTGTTTTTTGTTTTTTTTTTGGAATACAGATTTTTAATATATTTTTTACAAGGACTTAAAAGTGCTATAAACAACAACTAAGCATTATAAAATCCATTGTTTCTTGCATGTGGGAATAGGTGAAATTGAAATTTTTAAAAAGTGATATTAGGTTCTAGGCACATCAGAAATAGTTTCTCTCTGTATTTGGAGAGATTGTTTACCTAAATTTAGTGAAACAATTATTTCAATTGGTACTTATAAATTTGGTAAGATTCGACACAAAATTGTAGGAACACAAAATATGAGGTCTAAGCGGTGCCAAAGAATTTAATTTACACACATTTAATGAATACCATTAAATATAATATTGGTTTGTGTGACATCTATTTCTAGACCAGTTCTCCACTTTGACTGATGACGAGGTGTCCGTGTTATTTTGTTTTCTGTGTTCTGACTCCGGTCCTCCTGACTTCACTGACACAGAGTGGTTGTACATGCTGAATGAGATACGACGAAGAGTGTACGGTAAAGAGAATCCTGTAACAAGTGAGGAAGCAGAGCAGACTCTGGACAGACTGAAGTCACGTGATTACCTTTGGAAAAATCAGGACAAGATAACGGAGGACATAAAGGACGAGACAATGTATAGGATAGCATCAATAAGGAGTGATATACCATTCGTTTACAGTAGTTATGACACAGCCAGTGTGCACCTGAGATCATCTATATACAAGAGAAAACCTGGAGAGAAGTGTGTCAGTTGTAGTGTCAGTGTCCTTGATACCTTACTGATACACCGTCTACAGATGAACATACTGACTCACGTCACCATGAAGGACACGATTACCAGTGATGAAGTGTTTCAGATCTGTAAGTGTAAAATATGACTGATATCAATTTATGTTATCTATCTAGCAAGATTATTTTCCTTAATTGTTTTTAATTTTCACATCACAAAGCGATTCTATATATTAAAACATGTAATGAATTAGATTGACATTAATCAATTTTGTTTACTGAAGAAAACTGTACACAGAGTAATATTCCCAGCATCCAAAGAAGATATTAAT